TGGCAAGGCGCAGAGGGCTGTCCTTGGAGGGAGATCCTCCGCCCAGCACCCTGGACCCTCCTCTGGGGGCTGCTGCCCTGCTTGTCAGAGTGGCAGTGCCAGGGGACTTAGGGGCATTGGACCAGGGCCTTTCGTGTTCCCAGCCCATTTCCCTTTCTGCCCTTTCTTTGCCACCAGATTTGGAACTTTCAGACCCAGAAGAGAACCCCAACGATGCTGAGGAGATGAGTGGGGGGATTGAGTTCCTGGCAAATGTCACCAGGGACACAGCAACGGACTCCCCCTCAGGTGAGGGGCTAGGGTGGCCCTCTGCGGCCTCAGATGTAAAGGCGGTCATTGGTCAGGACCGTAGGACTGTGGCTGTGCAGCTGCACATGGCAGATTGGGGGTCTCTGCTCTGAGAGAAGGGAGCTGTCACCTGTCCTGCCCATGGTGTAGGGCGGGAGAGCGTGAGATAGAGGGCCTGAAACCCCTAAGGCACATGACCCTGACCTTCCAGGTGATGGCTGTAGGACGCGCTGGTGTCTGACCCCTGAGCAGCACCCTAATCCTGCAATTCTGGGTACACCTGGAAAGCTGATCAGCCACTGCCCTTTCTCCTAGGAATTGACAACCCTGTGTTCTCCCCGGATGAGGACCTGAGCATCCTGTCCAGGGTGCCACCCTGGCTGTCTCCCGGGGAGACAGTGGTGCCCTCCCAGAGGGCCCGCATGCAGATCCCCCACTCTCCCGACAACTTCCACCGCCTGGGCCCCTTGCGCCTCAGCAACAAGTCCGTGGACTCCGTCCTGCTGGCTGAGGGCCCCAAGGAGCAGCCTCACACCACTCCGCCCGAGTCCACGCACATGTAACGCTCCTCGCCCTTCCCCGGCCCCTAACTCCTGCTCTTTCCTCAGGCATCTGCCTCTCTCTTGGCCCTGGACCTGAACCTCTGCAGACTTTCTCTAGCAGCTGCTCTTCCTCTTGCTCAGCCTGTGCCCTCCAGCCTCTTGTTCTGGCTGAACATTTCTTAGGACCTGTCCCAGGCTCTGCTTCTCCAGCTGGGACGTCGGGATCCAGAGCTGTCTGAGGGTTTGGCTGTTTCACCTCACTGACTAGAACTTACTCTTAGATTGTCAGTTTGATCACTAACTACTCTGAGATAAGTGTTTCATCTGGGCAGTCAGCCCATGGATATAAGTCCCGAGCTCAGAGGAGACTGGGCCTGGGCTGGGCTGGGGTGCTGCGTGGACAGAGAGCATCTGTTTTCCTCCCTGACGGCCCTGGGAAAAGCCCACCTGACAGGAGTGAGTTCAGGAGAGAAGCAGCTGGTCCCTTTTACCCTCGTACAGAAAGAAGTGCAGCTGGTGTGCCCACATCCTTGCTGCAGGCCAGGGGTTAGGGGGTGGGCAGGAAGGGGCTCCTGGATCAGAAAGGAGGTAGGGGAGAAGGCAAGGAGAGAGTGGTGGGCAAGGATGGTGGGCGAAGGACAAGGCCCCCATTCGGTAGGTGCTGCAGGGGTGCTGTTGCTGGGTCCCCGCTGTCCCCACTTTGACCTCTGCTGGGAAAGGGCTTCACCCCCTTGGGCAGTTTTGGCCTTACTTCACGTGTGCCTTGATTGTTTGGTGGGAACTTGGGAGGAAAAGGGAAACTAGACTTTCCCAAGCACAGGTTGGGCAGACTCACGTTTCAATGGAAGCAGTAACGTCTGTTTTTCTCTCATGTGGACACCTGGAGAAGGTGATTGTCCATCGAGCTGGGGTTGCAGTCGCGCTGGCCGGGCTGGTGAAATGGTTTCTTGGTACCCGAGCTGGTGCACAGAGACGTCTCACCCAGTCCCACTGCCGGTCCTGGCAGAGCTTGCAGGCAGGACCCTGCAGTGCTTCCGTGCTCCTCCTGCCTCCTCCTGGCTTCCTCCCTCCTGGAACACCCTGGGTCTCAGTGCTGGGTGCTGTAGGGTGGCGGGCAGAGAGGGCACCTGGGAGGGTCTACAAAGTCAGGGCCTCGGCTGACCCTGTCACTGGGGACCCTACTGGTCACACCCGGAGTATGGCCTGCAAATGTCCCAGAACTTTGCAGGTGTGTGGGGGAACCCGAGCTGGATCTGTGGGGGCCCTCCTGTACCCCCGGGTGCCCCACGCTCACGCCGGTTTCTCCCGCAGGTGACACGGGCTCTGACGTGCCGCTGACAGGACGCACGTCCCCGCGCGAGGT